CACAAATCCCAAAAAACGAATAATTTTTTCAAAAATTCACCAAAAATCAGCCGTTGCTTGCACGCGCCTTTATTTTGGCTCCTTTTCTTCTCATTAGTTGGGGCAAGTTTCCAGAAATTCCTGGCCAGATCCGCTCAAAAAAACGCCCCCCAGGGGGGGAAAAGCAAAAAAATTATCAAAAATTTGACAATTTTTTAAAAATCGTGTCCAACGTAACAGTCACAAGAATCCAATCAACGCTTGAACGCGTCCAACGTACTGTCACAGGGATCCAATCATCGCTAGAATGTGTGCAACGTCACAGCCACTGGAATGCAAGCAGCAATAGAAAGCTAGAAGGGACCGCCTCAAATGCACACAATGTTAATGCACTGATGCTAACTTAATGCGTAATGCTACAATTCTTATTTCAAAAGTGTAATACAATAGTGTAGTTATGTCATTATTGATGGAAATCGCAAAGAATAACATTTTTGCTCTGTACACTCACTCACAAATACATGAAAAACTGCCTATGATTCAATCGACAAATACAAAACTGACCACTGATGCAATAAGCTGAGACATGAAAACTCCTACCGTTACGATCAGGATTACCAACTTAATGAAAAACATAAACAAAGAAGGTACAGCAGGCCGCAGGGACACCAACCATCAATATACTCATTTGAAAAAAATGATTGATAGATACGAATTCTTCTATATTACAAATTTATCAGTAACTGGCATTCAACAGAATGGTTTAATAACCTGTGTAAATCGTAAATGTTATACATGCAGAATCAATCGCGTTCAACAGCCAAAGTGGCAGGAATGATGGTTAATGCTTACTGTTTACTTGTTAGTTCTCGTTAAGCAATCGGTGTGTGAGGTAACTGAATTAACTGCAGATAAAGCTCCCAAACTTGGAGACGATAATTGAGTGAAAACTTTATGATTACGTGATATATTGTGAGCCTTCTAAAGTTTTAATAATGAAGAAATCACAAGGTTCACAGAATCTAAAGGTTTGAATGCTAAATTTTTGACTTTCGAGTACTCTATTGACTATTGAGTCAATTTAGTCAGTCAACTGTGAAGTGTCATGTTGTGCATTGCCTTTTCTTCGAGAAGTTTCTCCAACTGCCTATGAGTTTCTCCTCAATTTGAAAGCTGAGGTAATGAATAGGTGCCATAAATGTTTTTTTTTATATTTAATTTGAAACTATTATGTTGGGACTTGGGAGTAAATAGTATTTCCTTCTGTAGATCCAACCCTCTTGCTCATCTGTGAGTGACGCGTGCAATTAACAATCTTGCATGGGACCTTCTCTGTGTTGCCTGACTTGACGTTCATACGATCATAGCTACCGTAACCAAAGCCTATTTCTGACGGCCGCAAACATGTTTCTAGTTGCCTGGAATTTTTTTCTAAGGTGGAATGCTTTTTTTATGTGAACCACGAATTTTAGAATTCCAGCCTGTCTAACATAGCTTGAAAGTAGACACACACTGCTCGTTCCTAGCTGTGTCCAAAAATTAAAATTTTCTTAATTAAAAGCTTAATAGGTCTCAATTAAAAGCTTAATTAAAAAATTAAAAATTTTCAGTTAAGCTCGTTCCTAGCTGTGTTGTATTCCAATACAGCTCACACAAGGTAGGAATTCTAACACAGGGCACCGGAAATCCGGAATTACAAATTAATAGAGTTTGAAGCGCTGTCGGTGCCGAAATTAGTCTCACAATATGCCAAATTTAGTCACACTCACACACAGTGTCGGAACTTAGGGATTTTATAGGTTTGAAACTCAAGTTGCGCATACGGTGACATTTTTTTAATTTCTTGCTACGTCCTTAATGTGTTGGAATATACCCTGTTTACTCTAAATGAGCAAAAGCAAATTTATCTTCCAAAAATATTCATTAGCTATGATGTGTTTTTTTAATCAAGCAAATGAATCCTAGTCCTTAAATTAGTGTTGGTTCATTTTTGCATTTGAATGTTTAATAGTGAAGCGCCAGAAGCGGCCTTGGTAATAAAACAGTGGTAGCCTATGACACTACCAGCTAAGTGACTTGTAACGTGTTTACTTTACATTACAAGCCATCATAGTGACAAACCAGAGATTTTTTAGAATCAGTTCATTTTTAATTTTCTCATTTACTCAAGATTTGAACTAGGGTAAACGCGGTATATTCCGACACATTAAGGATGCATCGAGAAATGAAAAACTCTAAAAAAAACGTATGCCTTACGTAAGTTCTGTTGCCTTCACGTGACTCTCAAAACACTTCACTACGCGTCAGCAACGATGAAACGTCATAAAATGTTGCCATATTTATTAAAAAGCCTTTAGAATGGAAACCTACCAAATCCCTATATTCCGTCACTGTGTGTGGCAATATTCGACACGTCGTGAGTCGTATTGCGTCATTGCTTCAAATTTAACTGACATGTAATGCCGACATCCACGTGTTCAAATTCCGTTCGCTGTGTGAGCTGTATTGGGATACAACACGGCTTTGAATTAGAACACTAACGAATATTGAACACTACTTAATTACGTTTTAATTAACAGCTATTAGGCTTTTAATTAAGCAAATTTCAATTTTTGTACAAAGCTTTGAACGATCTGTGTGTGTCCAATTCAAGTTGTGTCAGAATTAGTTTTCATGTGTCTAAATCCATTTCTCAACTTCATCATCTATTAATTTATTTACGACTTGAAATCAGCGAATACTAGTATACTTAAAGGATTCCTAATACATTCACAGACGTATTTAAAAGTCTCAAACCATAATATTCTTCCTATAAAAACAGTTATTCACTATTTGGTAGAGCAAGGTCAACTGTCAAATTTGACACATTTTTCGATGATCTCACCAGGTGGCATGCATTGTCTCTCTTTGGATCTCAATATTTTCCCACTAGAGTCTAGATGGCCAAGACCTAGTGTTTTGGCAGTATTTTGACGCGCAAATGTATGACATCACCATTTCAACCATCAACAAACGCATGGAACTAAAACAAAGCTTAATATAAAGGAAAAGCTGGAGAGGTGAAGGAATTACCTACGCTGTCGGAATATACCGCGTTTACCCTCATAGTGACAAACCAGAGATTTTTTAGAATCAGTTCATTTTTAACTTCCTCATTTACCTAAGATTTAACCAATTTCTTATGTATGATAAGGCTGGTATCCAGGATACTTTACTGGTCTACTTATGGGACTCAAAAATGAACTTGAGGGAGAGTCTAAAAAACTCTCTGCTTTGCCACTATGTTTACCCTTGTTTCTTATGTATGATAATGCTGGTATCCATGATACTTTACTTGTCTACTTATAGGACTCAAAAAATGAACTTGAGGGAGAGTCTAAAAAACTCTCTGCTTTGCCACTATGCAAGCCATTTAAGTCGTCAAGATCGAACCGCTTTAACAAGTTTAAGGTCTCCTTTTTCCTGCCTCTTTAATCTTTATTTCAATTTTAATTGTTGGATCGAAATTAGACCACAGGTGGATCGAAATTTAATATATGAACCCTAAAAATTAGAATTCCATCCTGCGAGCCAAGCCAATGTGTTTACATTAAAAGATGTGATAAAATATTCATAAAATAAAAAGGTAAACATTGAAAACATTAAGCTATGAACTGTTATTTGTAAACAGACTATTATTTTAACTGCAGGAGCCTCACAGGAAAGTAAAAAGAAAATGTGAACATAGGCTAAATTTTATTTTATGAACAATCTAAACATGAGACTTAGGTATGGAAAAAATTAGATTGCCACCCTGCCACAGTGACAAAGCAGAGAGTTTTTTAGACTCTCCCTCAAGTTCATTTTTGAGTCCTATAAATAGACCAGTAAAGTATCATGGATACCAGCTTTATCATACATAAGAAATTAGGTTTAAATCTTGAGTAAATGAGGAAATTAAAAATGAACTGATTCTAAAAAATCTCTGGTTTGCCACTATGCACCCTGCAGTAGGCTAGCTGGTAGCTGCTAGGCTGCTCAGCAGACTGCAGTTAACCTACCTACTCTCCTGTGGGCCCTGCTCCCTAATTAGAGTAGAGATAAAGCACTCAAAATTTGCATACTGTAAGACACAGAAGTGACAGAACTTTGATAAAAGAGTTCATTTTATGTTCAAGGAACAGTATTAGGCTAGTTTATTTATTTTGGACAGCTATGACGAATCACTTCTAATTTATAGACACTACAAAACCACATATAACGAATTGCCTTCCAATAAAAATTACATCTTCTTAGATGCAAGATTTTGAAGCACAACTGCTTCCATTAATGAATGAATGGTAGTTATGGTACAAACGGAAGGCGCATCCTTCAATTACTCTCTGACTTATATCAACAGGATGGGCAACAATAATGACGTCACGCCTCCGAGGAAACGGTCGAAATGTGAAAGTGAACGTTGGAAGCACTCCATATGCTTGGCTTTAATAACATACACATGAATTAAGACCAGTTATAAATAATTTACTGACAAATATCATCATTTGTATCATTTATATATTCAAACTTGAATTTTTTCGGACATTATCGAGTCTTCACTGTCTGATTTATTTCGAAAAATTGTTATATTCATGGCAAAAAATCTCAATTGTCAATAAACATGTTTAATATTCTGGAACTCATGCATGTGCATAGATAAATTCCTTTTACTAATATCCCAAAAAGCATAAATATTAGGTTGTGAACCTGCTCTGTCATACAATCAGTATAGGTCCTTATTAATAGGAGTTTTTGTTTTATGCATGCAATTGACTTGAGAACCAAATCGAATTTCGATAGTATTCACTAATGCAGCGAGCAGGATATAACTTTAAAATCATCATTATAAATTTTCAATATAATAGGAAGTAATATTTGAATAGTTTACATTTAAAAATCTTAAAAACAGTCGCGATTGTCAAAGTAACTTCATGTGATATCTCTTATCTTATCATAAGTTAGTACCTTACGTTTAAAGACGCACAACAGCAGTGTCAAGCTGAAGACATTAGAGGTAAGTCACGTGAAGATAGTCAAACAATTTGTGTGCAGTTTCAAATGGTGTATTGCTTTTCTTTATAAGTATAGCTGCAGTTTACTCAACCATACCAACTCTTTTAGACGAACTTATATTTTTAAATAACATCATTATTTTCTCCTGACTAATTCATGTTCGACATTTGAAACCGCCAGAAGAAAAATTTATCGAACAATTGCATTTTCTATCATTTGGCTTAACCACCAACCAAATTTATTGGTTGAGAATGCAATTAAAATAAATTATCAGATGTTAAAATCAATGATGTATAGAAAATAACAAGTGACAACATATACGTTAAAATTAACATTTTCAGCGAAAATAAATAGCTTGAAGTTCCGGCAATGGTAAAAATTAGTTAATTTTCCATATCATATCATATCGCATCAGAGTGATGTCGGCGCAGAAAAATAGGCCTGATGTGGCCTGTCGCTGATTCATCACTGCTTTTAAATTGTTTACAAATTATATTCACGTTGATACAGATGTTTGAGGAGACAGTAAAACTATTTCTTAGCATGTGCACATTTCATTTACCCATTCATGTTACCAATAATTAAATCATGCTTCGATTCAATGGCAAAGATACCCAACAAAGTCTAAAATCAAACTGGAGTGACGAATCGATGACTTTCATTTGGTATCACAGAGACGGGACCAAAATCGTGATAATTTTTAACTTAAAATTTAAATTTAGATCATTAACTACAATTTGAGATCATGACAAACTTTTTTGTGCGCACAGTAACAGCTAATGAATATTAAATTATATTACTAGTTACTAAAAGGAGGTAAATACTAATAATAGTATAATTAATCACCCGATTAACTTTATTTTTTTCTCGCGTTACAATGAATTAATCACATTCAGCACGACTCAAGATAAATACTAATAATAGTATAATCAATCACCCGATTAACTTTATTTTTTCTCGCGTTACAATGAATCCATCACATTCAGCACGACTCAAGAAGATGCCTGATTCAGAGGACAGTAACTCAGGGCCACAGCCTCCTGAGCGTCGCGCATCGATTGCGTAAGTTTATTTATAAGTACGCTGATTGTGGTAGTTTCGACACACAGAAAAATGAGCATGAGTTTGTTCGAATGGCTATGTGCTTTCTGCACTTGTGTGGGTCATCCTGACCCAGTTTAGTCGTTTAAAAAGTGCCAGTTTAGTCAGTGCCATGTTCACTCTCTGCTCGTGCTGCGGGTAAGAGGGTGGGTCAATATTTGGACAATATGACTCATTCAATTTTCTGAGTGCAGAAATTGTCTCAATTACTCGTATTTCTACAATAATTTTACGTGCGTGTCGGACAAGGTTGGATTTCGAGCAACCATGTCCAAACTAAATTGTATCTCTGAGATCCGACATGTTAATTAAATAATATGAGGATATTATCATAAGATTCATCATTAGCGATTATCATAACTAATCCAAGATAATTCAATTTTTTATTGAATGATAGTCCTGACCATGAAATTCTCAAAATAGAAGTACTGGACAGCGCTAGAAAACGTATAACCAAACTCAAAGGTTCCCTTCACAGCTGCTTGGTTGGTATATTGCAATCAGACGGAGTAACGTGTATTAATAATATATCACATATTTATAAATTATTCAGATTTATTGCTAAATCCATTAATTTTATCGTCGATGCAGGGACACGCACGAGTCGGTCTCGCGTGAAAATTCCCTATCTTTTGACAAGCCGCTCCCCACAACTCCCCAGACGCAGCGAAAGAAGAAAGCTAAGGACATACTGGGACGAAAATCTTCCTTCAAGTCGGTGAAGAAAATATCCACGCCTACGAACGTGAAACATGTCGTGCACGTTGTCAACGATCCCATCACAGGCAAATTGTATGTGAGTAGACATTATTTGTGCATTGAAACTGTCCTCAAATTATATGCGAGTTGAATTTCGCGTTACGATCATAAATGCCTCAAGATTTGTACTGAAATTGTCCACAAACAGTGAGTTGAATTTCGCGTTGAGATTGTAGGTGCTACAGTATGATTTATGGGTTGACACCATACACGTTGTAGAACCAAACTCGTTGAAGAACTATACACTCCTATAAGAATCATATAAGTTATAGAAACAAACTCGGTGAAGAACTATTCACACCTATAAGAACCATATAAGTTATAGAAACAAACTTGTTGAAGAATCATGCACACCTGTAAAAATAATACAGGTTGAAGAACCACATGCATATACGTTTAAGATTAGAATACGTCTGTAAGAACCACACACGCTGAAGAATCATACACGTCTATATAACAACCCCCCGCGTTCTATGTATATATTTAAACATTCATTCAATTTTCCGTCATTCAGGGCCTACCGAAGGAATGGCAACAGCGGCTAGACCTGGCGAATATTTCCGAGGAGGAGCAAAGCAAGAACCCCGACGCTGTAGTCACTGCCCTGCAAGTTGTCTTTGAAGAAAAAACCGAGAAGTTCATCACTGGCGTCGAGGAAGGAGGTGAGAGTCCGGCTGCCAAATGCAGCGGGAAATACAAATACTGTGCAGTCAGAAAAATGAATGGGCAATTATGTTGAAATAGGGACACACTTTAATAACCCAAAGTACGGGCAGGGAGCGAACGTATAGCCTCTGATACGCCCTTTTGTCGGGCCATATGCGTCAGGATGACCCATATACATGGGCAAAAGTGCATCGTTATTTGGACAATATCTACTCAGTTTTATAACCAGAGGGACAAAATAGTAAAAAAATATAACTCAGTACTCACTGCAGTGAGTGCCAGAGAGCGCATTTTCTCGCCGACGAAAACTTGAGGTCACGGACGGACAGACGGACAGACATGGCGAGCACAATAGGGCATTTTTCCATAAATGCGAAAATGAGCTAAAAAGGGTGATTTGAAACGACAAAAGAAGTAAAGTGACAGTAAATGAATAATAATGGATAATTTTAAAGTTAGTTGCTTCCACAAAACGGACCAAATTAAATAGATTACGTATAATAATTGTTTTACGAGGTCAAAGGTCAACAATTTGTGGGTTCATGATAAAAATAATTGTAGCTTTAACTACGTTATAAGAATAAAGTGTACGCAAACTTGCGAAGATAGTATTTGTTTGAAAATGTAATTTTTTCGTGCAAAAATTGCATTAAAAATGTCTCTGACTCACCTTGTATTACAAAGGACGTCGCTTCTTCGTCAAATGTGAATGTCATATACATGTTCAACCAGTCGGGTTGAAGCTCCCACGATTATCTATTGACAATCTTCTAACATATTCATTAATCTTAAGCTCCACCTATTGTTTATTGTTAATCCTCTAACATATTCATTTACCTCAAGCTCCCACGATTATTTATTGATAATCTTCTAAATTATTCATTATTCTTAAGCTCACTATTATCTATTTGTAATCCGCTAACATATCCATTTATCTCAAGCACCCACGATTATCTATTGATAATCTTGTTTATTATTCATTATTCTTAAGCTTACTATTATCTATTGTTAATCCTCTAACATATCTATTTATCTTGTGCAGATTACGATGACTTGCCAGACGGACCTCCAAGGCCTGTTGACGATGTCTATGGCTCCATGGAGCTGCCACCTCCATTACCCACGAAATTGTCCAGAAAAGAACCCACCGACTCCTTTGAAGACTACGCTTCGCCGCGTGGGGGCTTGTGTGACATCAGAGAGTCTAGGGAGGTGTCCACCTTCCAACGCGATGTGCGTGAGATAATCTATACTAAGTCTAGGGAGGTGTCTACCTTCCAACGCGATGTGCGTGAGATAATCTATACTAAGTCTAGGGAGGTGTCTACCTTCCAACGCGATGTGCGTGAGATAATCTATACAAAGCATTTCAGTGCTCATGTTCATAAATTATTTATTTAAGATCTAAACTGTCGATTCACTGAAACTGTTACGATATATGCTAGGCATTTATGATATACGATAAACAGACTATGCAAGCATTTGACGCCACCTAATAAAAACATTTTAATATACGAATATTAATCATCTAAGATCTAAACTGTGCTGACGATGATCTTTAAATTGATGTACATATGAATTATCTTTGATCTAAATTGATGTTTCACCGAAAATGTTTGGAGGCATTAGTAATCTAAGATCCACTTAAATTGTCGAGTAAAGTATATGAGACGACGTATCCATGGAATATCTCCATGTTCATATTCATGAATTATTTAGGATATGAACTGCAGACTCAATAAAAAACCAATGATCTATGTCATTTATACCTCGGCCCACACTCATGAATTATCCATGATATGAGAACTCCAAGGCGTTCATATGAGAACGCCAAGCAAATTCATCATATCGTCATTGAAAACGTTCAGAGAACAGTTCATCATCAGTTCAACAATAATAATGGAGCTGTAGTCTCCACAATGTTTTTGAAGATTTGGTGAAGCGTTTATTGGCTAATAAATTCTCGGTAAACTTGCAATTTAAGCTGACTAATGACATAGGTAACAGACTAATGAAATAGGTACGTATTTTGTGTTTAATTGTATTACTCAATTGTTCAGGACGAGGCAGATGCACCAGCGATTCCTGCGAGACCTGAGAGGACCATGTCAGTTTACACGCGTCCAGTCGAGAACCAGTAAGTGATCCAACACGGGACATGTGAACCAACAAGGGACCTCTGTATCAATTGTTAACAAATAATCGATCAATAGCAGAATATTGATCAGTGGCGAGAATTATTGATCAGAGGTTGATTATTGATCAGTGGCGAGTACATATAGATTTACCAGAAAGATTGAAGTCATGTATATTATGCTATCCCATGAAATGCCATTCATACTGCTATCAAATAAAAATATTACCCTCTCACTCAATTTTACCACCACTGAAACTGATGAACCCATTTTCCAGGACCGACGGAAGCCCGAAAGTCGGCCCCGCGCCGGCGCCGAAGCCCGGCGGTAACGCGACTAAGAAGATCGACAAGCAAGAGGTGATGAACAAACTACGTACAGTTGTCGACTTCGGAGACCCAAAGAAGAAATACGATCTAAGGCAGCAGATCGGACAGGGGTAACATTTGTAGTGATTTGTGCTTTAATTTTGTTCTAACTCTAGCTTTGACCTTCGATATTTTATCTTTTCCAGAAATTTTCAGTACTAGCCACGTGAAATTTTCAGTTTCAGCAATCCTACCACGTGAGTTTCGCGGTGAACTCTTCGAGTTCATGAAAGAAGTTTTTTTATGCACAGATTTACTTTTTAACGTAACTTTAAGATTTTTCAAACGCGCTCATCATATCTTGAATTTGAGTTTTTTTTTTGCTTTTAAATTCTTGGTGACCTTGCTATATATGCAAATTAAAAAAAAAGAGACATTTTGCCAAATGCTGACAAACTTTCTGCACGTAGCAGTGATACGCTTTTTCACTTTGCCAAACTGAATCAGAATGATCCCCACAAGTGCTTGAAGTGCATCGCTATTTGGATAAATGTCACTCATTTCTCTGAGTGAGTTATATGATAATAGTATAATGATAACATAAATTCATTTTTATTTATTTAAATTAATTAAAAAAGTAATTTTTTATGTAAAAAAATCGCGCAGAGCATCAGGCCAGGTGCACCTAGCAACAGATCGCTCGACAGGCGAGACGGTGGCCATTAAGATGATGATAATTGATGCCCAGCCGCGACCTGAACTCATCCTTACAGAGATAAACGTCATGAAGAGAACACGTCACCCTAACATCGTCAACTACATCGGCTCCTACCTCGTCGATAATGCTACGTCGCTCTGGGTATGTAAGTGGCATTAGCTACATCCAGAGAAATGAGTGGGACTTTGTCAATATAGCGATGCACCTTATGTCCTTATGATGCAAGGTGGCCCAGTGGTTACAGTTCAGAGTAGCAAGATTGGAGAAGAGAGGTGCGGGTTCGATCCCAGCTCTGTGCGCCAGTTTCTGGTCAGAATCGGCGAGGAGGCCGGGCTGTTGAGCAAAAAAAATTTAAGCAGCGAGTTGCGAGTTCGAGACCGCAACAAGCTGAGAATGTTCTGCGGTGTTAAGAATCGGCGACAGGCCTACGGTTTTCTGAACACTGAAACCGCTATTATTATATTTCATTATTAGGTCCTTATGTGCTTTAATAAGGGAATGTCCTCATCGGCTCGTACATCGTTGAGTACGTCACTTAACTGTGGGTTTATGCGCCATTCAGAAAAATGTATGGAACATATCGTCCAAATAATGTCACACTTGCTGCGCGCAGCACTAATACGCCCTTTTTATGGGCCAATGTGAGTCAAATTGACCCACATGAGGTCAAATGTGCATCGTCACTCAGACAAAGTATAATAAATTTCTACACGAGTGTCAGGCAACCGCTAAAGTCAGAGAAATAAGTGAAACTATATATCAAAACATCGATGCACATTTTGTTCTTGTGTGGTACAGCCACACCTAGTTTTGCTCGGCGGAAGAACCTATCAGTATTATAACCCCTCTATTCTAGTGCAGTGGGGAAGAGAGTGTGTCACTATTTGAACAATATGACCCCACAATTTTTCTTAAAGTTTTATGAAAAATCCTAGAGACGTTGCTTGGACGTTCCTACGTAAAAATTTCTATGTAGTCTTGCCTGGAGCCCAAACTAACTGAGAAAATCCATACAACATGTACATGAGGGTCTTAAATTAAAATATCGGTTCATTCTATTCCACTATATTCCAATAAACTATTTTCCAATAAGCTAAACTATATTCCAATAAACTAAACTATTTTCCAATAATTTTTATTGACGTTGAACGGACACATCTTATTTATTTTTTATTCGTTCTTCCTTTTTTCTAGTTCTTATTCTCTTTTTTATTCAGTTCTTCTATGGATGTCATCAGGACAACATTTCATCATCACTGGTTCAGCCATCAACATAAACCTACTCACGAACGTTGATATTGTTCCCATACAAACTTCTATGCATCATTGTTTTCGTCAATTACACGATGAAGGTTATCATCACGTCGTGTCAAATTAAATTAAACTAAAAATCTATTTTTACAACGGAAGCACGAGAAATCCATGATAGATTTACGTCAACTCTTCAAATAGATAAATTGAGATCATTTGCTTATAATTCCAACGAATTTATATATAAAGTATCAGAAATCTCCAATATTGGGGAATCTTCACTTCATTAGCTAACGAAAAATAAAATTTTTTAATTAAGATATCTATCGCTAAGAAGTAGTTATACATATGACTTTATTTTATTGGCTTTAACACCAATTTTTGAATGACCACGTTAAAAGACTTTTGTAAATGACTACGTAACACGAGTTTGTTAAATAACTACGTTACACGACTTTTTTTAATGATTTCTTTACATGACTTTTTTGATTGACTACGTTACTTGACTTTTTTTTTAATTATTTCGTTACGTGGCTCGTTCAAATAATTAAGCTACAAGATTTTTCTTAATATATTCCTTTTTATAAAAAACTGAGATTTGCATTAATATATTTGTCTTCATCAAAATAACTTAGATTTGCATGTAAACTAGACTGGATGTTTGGATTGGTGCGCAGGGAGATGTTGCAGGCGCTGGTGTTCCTGCATGAGCGCAACATCATCCACCGAGACATCAAGAGCGACAACGTCCTGGTCGGCCAGAACGGAGAGATCAAAATGAGTGAGGGGCGGTAGTGAGGGGCGGTAGTGAGGGGCGGTAGTGAGGGGCGGTAGTGAGGGGTGGTAGTGAGGGGTGGTAGTGAGGGGTGGTAGTGAGGGGTGGTAGTGAGGGGTGGTAGTGAGGGGTGGTAGTGAGGGGTGGTAGTGAGGGGTGGTAGTGAGGGGTGGTAGTGAGGGGTGGTAGTGAGGGGTGGTAGTGAGGGGTGGTAGTGAGGGGTGGTAGTGAGGGGCAGTAGTGAGGGGTGGTAGTGAGGGGCGGTAGTGAGGGGTGGCAGTGAGGGGCGATACGAAAAATTCACGAGGTGCGATAGACAGTACCCATCCGATGAGTTAGTGAGCGGCAATAGTGAATCAAATTACAGTGTAATTACATTAATATGAAATTCAATTCATAATCAACTCATAAATGGTTAAATTTGATCAGCGGACTTCGGGTTCTGCGCGCAACTGACGCCGGAGAAGTCGCAGCGCCAGACGATGGTCGGCACGCCATACTGGATGGCGCCCGAGCTCATCGGCCGCAAGGACTACGGTCCTGAGGTGGACATTTGGTCCCTGGGCATCATGGCGCTCGAGATGAAAGACGGTATGACCTAAGCCTTTACCGCCGTATATCACTCTCCGGGAACATAACTTTCAACTTAAATTATACGTAAACTATTGAGTGCAGCAACTGGAGGACGTTTGTACGCAACAGAGAACAGTTTAAAGTTGTCGTACGTGGCGGCAACCATCAGTGCAAGTCATTTTACGCTCACTAGAACGTATCCTTTTTGGGAAGTAGGCTTGTGACAATATTGCTCCGGTTACTCCTGTCAGGCAGTAGAGGGTTAAGGGGATCAGTGTTTATTATGTTATTTAGGTAATAGAGCAAATGAATATACATTAATAGGGATAGACGGCATGCAAAGATATAAGGTGAGCAGTTTTTATTGTGCCATATGCAGCCATTATGTTAATAGAACAAATGAAATCCCCCCTACCTGCATGCACGAGGACCAGGCGCGCTACAGAAGGCTAGTCATGACTCACCTAACTCACTCCTGACTCACCTAACTAACTCCTGACTCACCTAACTCACTCCTGACTCACCTAACTCACTCCTGACTCACCTAACTCACTCCTGACTCACCCAACTCACTCCTAACTCACCTAACTCACTCCTGACTCACCCAACTCACTCCTGACTCACCCAACTCACTCCTGACTCACCCAACTCACTCCTGACTCACCTAACTCACTCCTGACTCACCTACCTCACTATTGACTCACTCCTGCCTCACCAATGACTCACTTATCCTGCAGGGGAGCCGCCCTACCTGCACGAGGACCAGGTGCGCGCCCTGTACCTCATCGTGACCAGAGGCAAGCCCCCCATCAAGAACCACGACAAGCTCTCCCCCGAGTTCCGGGACTTCCTCGACCGCTGCCTCGAGGTCGAGAAAACAAAGCGTGCCTCTGCCGCCGTCATGATACAGGTATCATTAATTGTTTAATATATAATTATAATTATATAATTCGCTATATCAATTATTATTATATTTATTATAATTTTGCAATAATAATTATATTTATATATATTATAATTTCGCTATAACAATTCCCTAACAAAATTTAGAGTCGCCCCAGCTTCTGATTTGGGGTACCAGAAGCTGGGACGACTCTAAATTTTGATAGGGTTATAATTATATATGTTATAATTATAAGCTTCACAGTAACTCTAATCACTAGACCTTCTCTCGTGAATAGGCGTAGAATATCTAGGCTCCAAATCAGGATAACAAAGACGACAATTATAAGAATGAGTTACAAAATAGTTTACCCTTTAGTCTACTAATGGTAGCTCCAAAATATGTTAAACTATATATGTCTGGTGATGATAAATCCGAACAGGTTAACTTTATATCTACTGTTTGTGACTCCAGATACCTGGCGTTGACGAACGTTTTTTCAATTCCAAGTTTCATTTTACGAAGAGATATATATGTGTAATACTCTTAATTATTGTTAATTATTTAATCTTAGTAATGATTAATTTTGTTTATTTTACAGCACCCATTTTTGAACAAGGCCCGGCCTCTGGTCGACCTCCAACGGCTCGTGGAGGAGACGAAGCAGGCGACAAAACGATTGTCCGATTAAATTTACGGACAGACTTTCAATTAAATTCTTTACATTAATTCATTAACTATTGATTTATCAATAACAACCATCGCCGATACAGATGATTTTTTCATAAATTGTTTATGATAATAACACCTTCACAATTTAAAATCTATAATATTTTATATTTGGAACAGAAATATTAAATAAATTTAATTTTCATTGCATGCTGACGCTCGAATTCTTATTATCAAATGAGATTTTAATTTATTAAATAATTCGCTACAGATTGTTATTGATTGCTAATGAAAAAAACTGTCCGTTTATAAGCATATTGATACAAGTTATTTACAAAATTAAGCTCAAAATATTGTATTCTCTCGGATACATTGAACCTCGTGTAAGATCACAAGCAGACTTGCGTGAAATAAATATATATTATTCAGTTAATGGGTGGACTCGAATAGTTGTCGGATTTCTTGTCCATGAACGTTAAAGATATAATATAGATTATGTATCAAATTAATAATTCTTCAAGATTTTTTATTCTGCCGGTTTAGAGAGGATGGATCAGAAATGTTTTAGTCTACTCTGAACGAGTGAGTAAAAAGTTATGTTATTTTCAGGGCACAAAACTTTCTCATCTATAATTGGAGGGAAATTCTTAAACGTTTCCAATCTTGACAATAATCAGCCGCCTTGTAATGAAGAGTTTCCAATGTAATTTAAGCGCATTTATTTCATACAATTCAGGACATTGAAACGCGTGCACAAGTGAGATTCGTTGTGAAGCATACACGTGAAGACAGCAGACAAGCGACTTAACATGACAGCAGACGAGCGACTTTACATAATAGCAGACGAGCGACTTTACATGACAGCAGACGAGCGACTTTACATGACAGCAGACGAGCGACTTAACATGACAGCAGACGAGCGACTTTACATGATAGTTGCAGTATTTTCCTGACCGCATTAATAATAAAAGATTCATTGAATTTCCAGAAATGATCAAATTTTTTAGATTTTTGGCCGCATGATGTATCCGACACTTAAGTGACGGTCGAAATATGAGTGAATGCATTTGGTAACATTGTTTGATTTAAATTACGAGTATAATCATAGCAATTTATTATAAGAAATTCGTGATCGGTAGATTATCAACTATTCGTATGACGTAGAGGGAAGAAAATTTGAAAATGTAATAGAATACAACTTACCGAGTCATTGAAAATGTCAAATTGTTTTCTCCCATTCACCAACATTTTGCTTATCACTTAACATTTTGATGGAATTTCAGTGGGTAAGATTTAAGAAACACGACTGAAATTTTCATCAAATCTTAGGAGTGAATAACTATAAGATAGATATGATTAACAAATAAATATATTAGTTACGAGTTTAAATTAAATTCCTGACTAACATGACCATTGTTGATTTTAATCCAATTCAAATAAGCTTAATTTGGTAAGGTTCTCTGTAGTATAATAGATACCGCACTCCAGCGTTTACCCAATCTTGATTCACATTTACACAAATTCATCAGTTAAAAATGCACAGTAAATTATTTCTTCAATCTCCAAAAATATTCAAAGCAAATATCAGAATCAATTTAGAGATGCTCTACGTTATTACAACACTTTTCTTTAACTTCACTTCTTGTTTGTCTGTCTGCTACAAATCTTGTAATCGAAATTTAATATACTTCTACTTATGCAATCGATCTGAAATTTTGCACACTTGCGTAAAGTTGGAGACAATGCATGAATCAAATGACAAAATAAATAATTTTAGGAATAATTTTTTTTCTCCAATATTAAAAAATAAAAAATATATTTTTGTCAGCTACAAATCTTATAATTGATATTTGACACACTTTTTTTACCTGTCCAATTGATCTAAAATTTTGCAAACTTGTGTGAAGACGGAGGCAATGCATGAATCAATTGACAGAATAAATAATTAAAAAATTTTATATATTAAAAAAAATTGAAAAATTAATTTTTTATTCTTCGAAAATAAAATGAGAAATTTATTATACATCATTAACATTGGAGACACCGCGTTCTTCAGAAGTGTTGTCTTTAAAAAGTAATTTTTAAACTTTTATTAATTTTATCAGCCAAACGGACGTTCAATTACTGTCAATTTGAGGAACGATTACAATTTTTTTTTCAAGAAATTTTGCTTCACGGTCGACAAGGCATTAGGCTTGCCTAAGCCCATAAAAAGGTCTTTAACAGACTTATTTAAACAAGTAAATATTTTCTAACTCGCTCTGTAATAAGCTCCGAAGTATTGTCCATGTAAGGAACGGAGGTAACTATAGCCCGTAACTCCAGATATTCAGCAAGACAACATTCCGAACAAATAAATAACCACGTATATATACTCCGTGGCAGTTAGAATTCATTTCGTTTTGCGTCCCACTTCTACCTGCAACTCTGTTTACGTACCGCCTCTACCAGCAACTCTGTTTACGTTCCGCCTCTACCTGCAACTCTGTTTACGTACCGCCTCTACCAGCAACTCTGTTTACGTTCCGCCTCTACCTGCAACTCTGTTTACGTTCCGCCTCTACCTGCAACTCTGTTTACGTTCCGCCTCTACCTGCAACTCTGTTTACGTTCCGCCTCTACCTGCAACTGTGCTTACGTTCCGCCTCTACCTGCAACTCTGTTTACGTTCGCCTCTACCAGCAACTCTGTTTACGTCCCGCCTCTACCAGCAACTCTGTTTACGTCCTGCCTCTACCAGCAACTCTGTTTACGTCCCGCCTCTACCAGAAACTCTGATAGATCTGAAGAACCGTATCACTGCTACGGTGCACTCAGTAACAGAAGATATATTTTCTCGTGTGTGGGACGAGTTTGGCTACCGTTTAGACGTTTGCCGTGTAGCACAATGTTGGACATTTGTAAGTATGTAAAAAAACATTGAATCTTTCTCTTTCCATTGGTGTATGAATAATTCATTTTGAATTTATACTTGAATAAATACAAATTTGTTGAATTAGATCCATCATTTTAGAATTTAGAAGGATATGGCCTTCTCGGTAGGGTAACGAAATCATGCCTCATATACGTACATGCCGCCAACCTTCAGCGAGATTGGTAGTTTTCAGATTTGTGATGCTTGAAAAACTAAATATATTTCTGAGATTTTGAGTCATAGTTATTGACAATAATTTTAGAAGATTAATGCACCTGTGCACATCAGCATTAATTATGAGACGAACTTCATTGAATACGATGGTAGCTCTGGCTAAACCTTAGGTCATATGCTTGTACATTTTTCAGGAAGAATCGTTCAGAATAAGCAAGTGTTATTTAACACGCACCCTCACAATTATTTATATAAAAATATCCCAGACACTTCACACTTCAATTCAGGCTCGTGTGGAGTCAAGCAAGCCCTGGAGCGTTAGCTCTTGTACTACCGCAAACGATCGTCTTAGTAACAATTCAGTGTCGCTTGAAAATATCTCTCGTGAAGCATACGCATTCCTAAGGTCCATTTTGCTTCTAAGACACTAAAATATGAAAGCCTATAATCCTTCTATAGCAGGTTCCTTAGTTTTGTCACGCAGTACGTGGTGATCCGATGGGTTTTTTATCGAATAGCAGTTGAATGGATTAGCGAAGATTAGAAACGTGGTTCAGAGAGTGATATTGAAAGAAGCAGGGCCCAATCCAAACTGGTTAAAAATTTGAGGTAGCCAGTCTGGATTTAGCCCTGTTGATGTATTCTTCAGAGACTAAATGGCATTTTGTAGCTCATAGGAAGAGAAAGGCTCATTCAATGGCAAGTCAGACTCGTCACTCGGTGTAAGCTTGTGAAGGATAGGGGGATGGGGCTGGGCATTTGAAGAATTTTTCATAGTGGAGAGAGAGATTGTACTTTACCAAGAGCAATCCGGACAAATGGTCTACAAAGACGCTTTACCTTTTTCCAAATTAGAGATATGGGGGTGTTGAAGATGCTGGTGCTGCAATATCTCCTCCAGGAGTTCTGCTCTGTCTTCTTGACCTCCCATTTTACTCTGGTTTCACTTTTTTTGAAGGCAATTAGGTTAACAGGGAAAGAACGGAAAATTAGAGCTTTTATAGCAGTTTTCTTAGCTTCAACAGCTTGAACGCAGCTCTGCGTTTACCAAGACTTATTATACTTGGGGTTCATATAGTTACACAATTTCACAATGTTGCCACTGAAATTGGTTTTGTCTACCTCAATGTCTGCTAATAGAGCAGACCCTTCTGATGCAGAGCAGTCAGCCATGCACCCCACGAACCACCCTCTAACTTCAAGGTTGGTCAAGCTCTATACCTCACAGTAGAGACCTCAACACCAACACAGGTTACAGCTGGGTAGTGATCACTTTCCTTATATTCTCTGTGTGCACAGTGGCTAGTGACAAAAGGTCAGTTGGGATTGTTAACTTAAGACATATTGCTGTATGCTGACGGCTCCACAATCCTTAAAGCTTCCCGCTAGGAAACCTTTTACTCGACTCTGATTCTATCAACTACCAACTTGGCCTCTTTCACGAATCTACATCTACCATAGCTGGCCGTATAGTTGACCTCCACAGTTACAGCAATGTGGACTGCCTCAGTGAGAACAGTCTTTCACATTATGGGCGCTAGAACAGGCAACACAATGTGGGGAATTTTTGCAACTGCTTGCACTGTGACCGAAGTCTTGCCACTTGAAACACTGCCAAAGCTGTGCACTGTATGGGCTCACTTGGAAACGCTGGTACCCAAGTTTAATAAAGTTTGGTGTGGTACTTAAGTTGAAAGTTATTTTAAACATTGAGGCTGTAACCTTATCTTTGCCTTTCAGAATTGTCTCCGCAGGGGCATTGTTGAAGCCGGCCAATGTCAGAGCCTTTTCAAGATCTCCACTTCAGACATCATAACTTAATGTTCAAATGACTCCAATGGACTTTGTGAAGTTGATAGGAAGACGGCACTTTATTGTCCAGAGGCAAATTGATTGACCTTCAGCAGAGAGAGCAATCAGAGCATCTTATCTCCAAGCTCTTCCTCAAGAGTAATGACAAGAATTTCTGGTCAAGTTTCTTGCTTACTCCAGAAATTCCTGTTCTGCCAAATGGAGAGCTGGCTAAAGCTTTACTCAAGGTCGAATCATTTGTGAGAGATTATCAACTGGGCGGGTGCCAGTAACTGGCTCAACAATTATAACTTTCCCTAGAGAGTTTGTCACACTAGGCTCTATCTCAACCTCATGAGGCTCTTGAGTGGATCTCAAACAGTCTTCTGCTATATTCTTTGAGCTGGTAGAATGTTGCTGAGTAGGGATTTGCTGGAACTCACTTTTCGACATGTCTGAACGCAAAGAGAGTTGATCCGAGCCATTGACACAAGCAAATCCTTCATAATTACTTTTCCTAATGCAACAATTTTTCGCTAGATGTAGACTGCTCAACCAAGTTGGTACCTAGTGCTGGTGGACAGCTCAATAATGACGGGGAATTGGGAATTTCAGGAATGCAGTTGATGCCACCGTCACTAGACCTGTTGGTTACTGGCGATGATTGTATCAGAGGCACAGAAGCAGACAAAGGAGAAGGGCCGGCGTCCCCGTCTAAATCAGGACATTGATTCAGACTCTTACGCCGCATCATTGGAACTAGGAGCTCGAGCTTTGAAGCTCAACTTCTACTCCTCACACTTGCAAGTGACTTACCCATTTATAATACTGATAATGATATATATGCACGAGACATATATTTAGATACTATCCGTGAGCACAATTATGCAAGGTAACTTAGACGCATCCGTCTTCAACCATGACTGTAACCGGAATCCGAAGACAGACGATATTTAAGTAATCCTTGAACCAACTATCTTCTTTTTTTCCAGTCACGTTTGAAGAAGTGCGGTAACTAAGTGAAATGAACAAGTTAGCCAATTTTTTTTGCGGAGTTAATAATTTTTCACTGCAGCGCCTGCGAAAGAGCCATCTTAGAGGCATTCATTTAATTTTATACCGCATTCAGGATTTATTTAATTTTATACCTAATTAAATCCAGTAAAATTATGGCTTGCAAAATTAGAAACACGCATTTTAATTCTTCGTTCTTGTCGACATGCAGTCCCCGAGGCGATTTTTAAGATGAAACTGCGTCAGATATACACGTCTGATATCATGTAATCGCTATTAATTCATTGCCACCAATACATATGATACTTTAAGAATACATCAGCTGAAAATAAAACGTTTGATTTTTATTGAAGGTCAATAATACAAGCAGCAGTCACCTTCCAAGTGGTGTATTTTTCTAAATAAAAAATACATCTGCTCTAAGAAACTGTAGAAAGTCACTACACACATACAGAACACTGATTGAAAAGCCTACACTTTCGTTCTAAATTGCAAATGAACTCTCTAATGTAGAAACTTTTAACATTACACCTACGTTGCAGAAAGATCTCTATTTGTTTCTCAATGTCAACAAAATTTGAAACATTTTCGTTAAGTTATACCTGAAATAACATAAATTCAAACTATGAAAAAGGTCCTGACGGAACAAATACCATAAACTTGAGACAAGCTAAACCTGCATGTTCATCACTAGTGAAAATTCAAAGTACTCGCTAGTGAAAAACTAGTAGATACATACTCCTGAAAATTCCCAAGAAACCCACTAGTGGAAACTAGGAGAAATCATCTAGTGAAAAGATTCAAATCTCCGCTAGTGCAAATCTTTAGATTCAAGATACCCACGAAAAAAAATTAACAATACCCACGCGTAGAAAGTTCCAAGACACATACAATTTCTCTTCAAAAATTTCTCACAAACATATAATGCCATCTGAGATAAAAAATCTTTAGTACAGTCAAAATAATTTAGTTCTCGGTATTACATTAATGTAAATATAAAATATATAAAGAAATATAAAAGATTATCAATATAAATATAAATATCAAGATTTATCTCACATTAGAAGGTAAATATTTTTTTACTATGTGCTTGTAAACGCAGACTCGGGCACGTAGACAATAGATGAAGGAGTGCACAACCTTAAAAATTTATTACTTGAATAAAACAATTGAAGAAGTGAATTCTGATACACGTGAAGTGGTTATAATCCAATACAGTGCTAATACCTGCGGGAAAATATTCAAACTATTAATTTATTACTCGTAGTATTCAAGAGATTTATTCAATGCAATTTGTGTTATAAGGACGAAGTTTTTAACTGAGTTCAATAATATTAGACAGTCCACTTACTAATGATATTTTAACCACTAAATTCACACCAAATTTACTTTGTATGTTTCAATTTATTACTTATTGTACCATATCTTATTTTATTATCTTGCTTCCTATTTAACCGGGAAAAAAAATGATCGGTTAGATACTGAATCGCAGTACAGCGCAGTTACTGCGCTATATTGCGTGATGACGCCATGTTACTGCGCTATATTGCCTGATGACGTCATGTTACTGCGCTATATTGCGTGATGACGTCATGTTACTGCGCTATATTGCGTGATGACGTTGTTACTGCGCTATATTGCTTGATGACGTCATGTTACTGCGCTATATTGCGTGATGACACCATGTTACTGCGCTATATTGCGTGATGACGTCATGGTACTGCGCTATATTGCTTGATGGCATAGTTAATGAAACTAAATTAAATATTATTAACCAATAAAAAACTATTAAAAATTCATAACTCTTAAACTAAAATTATTCAATGCCACACTTTTAAAATTCTTTTGGATCGTAGCTAAATACATTTTAGCTAGAAAGGACGCTGCAGCAATACATTATATGAACATTAGCATAGAATAATCATTTCCACATGACATTTGTGCGTAAATCATGTATATTTTGCCTCAAATCCTATTACAAACAGCAAAGTTCATAATAAGTTCTAAGATTTTTTAGTTTTCCCAACTAGGATTCAATATAGGCCCGAACTCCTGCATCTTTATTCGCAAAATTAAAATTAAATTCAAAAAAATGTGAAGCCCTTTAAATGAAACGTTTCATTTTAATTTTTCCTCGCTACGGAAGTGAATGGCTGTTTTATTTACTGATACTCAGCTATTAAAATATTAGTGAGATATTAATCTCATAAAACAATGCTTGTTGTAAAACTCTGAATAAATAAAAATTGTTTGAGGGTGTACATTAAATAGACCTTCGATTAAATATGATTGAAATTAGAGCTCGTTGAAGAAATCTTGTGGGATACAAAATTAAATTCTTATTTTATCAGCAAATCATACAGTATAATTATCCAAAAATGGTAACACTAAAGACTTAATAAGAAAATGAAAATTCGGAATTCATTAATTAAATTTATGACACAGATAAGAAAGAGAAAATTTCATGCTCGCTATTGGGTCTACGATTTGGATGAAAATGTAATCCCTGTTGTTGGGCCATTATATGGATGAAAATGTAATCCCTGTTGTTGGGCCATTATATGGATGAAAATGTAATCCCTGTTGTTGGGCCATTATATGGATGAAAATGTAATCCCTGTTGTTGGGCCATTATATGGATGAAAATGTAATCCCTGTTGTTGGGCCATTATATGGATGAAAATGTAATCCCTGTTGTTGGGCCATTATATGGATGAAAATGTAATCCCTGTTGTTGGGCCATTATATGGATGAAAATGTAATCCCTGTTGTTGGGCCATTATATGGATGAAAATGTAATCCCTGTTGTTGGGCCATTATATGGATGAAAATGTTATCCCTGTTGTTGGGCCATTATATGGATGAAAATGTTATCCCTATTGTTGGGCCATAATATGGATGAAAATGTTATCCCTGTTGTTGGGCCGTTATATGGATGAAAATGTTATCCCTATTGTTGGGCCGTTATATGGATGAAAATGTTATCCCTGTTGTTGGGCCATAATATGGATGAAAATGTTATCCCTGTTGTTGGGCCATAATATGGATGAAAATGTTATCCCTGTTGTTGGGGCATAAAATGGATGGAAATGTTATCCCCGTTGTTGAGCCATAATATGGATGAATCTTAAATTTAAAATCTCGCAAATGATCAAAATCCTAAACTGCGTTTTGGCACGTATAAAAAAATCATAGTTAATACACCGTCTTAAGTTATTGACTTATTCTAATTTCTTTGGCATCGCTAAACTTAATTCGTCGTTTTTTCCACCTTGCTCTTTGGAAGGACAGATCATACTTAAAATCTATTATAATTAATTAAATTTCATTATTATTATTCATAAAGAAAATGCAACTTTGTACGCATCATAATGATTCCATTGTTGTCTTTGGTTTAAAAGTTCAATCGTCGATTAAAGTTGCTTAAAAAAATAGCAACTAATTCAGTAAAATATAAAAATGTGAAATAACAGTCGAGGAATGAGCTTAAGTAGCAAGGTTCTTTGACCACAGAAGAAATATTTAATTTAATATACAAAAATATATAAATTTAATTAACGGGCCGAAGTGAGCGAAGTTCCAAAATTCGTTTCCAGAGGCCAGCCATGAAATAAGCGCTTTACTGTTGATGTCAACAAACTTTTTCTCTTATGAATTTTGAAAGTAAATTTCAACAGATTTAATGAGTAGTTCAGATCTCTGTCAACATTCAAGTTTGAATCGCAGTAGTTGAAAAGTATCAGATGTTATTTTCTATTCAAGTATGTCTTTGCTTAGTATTCTGTTTTAAACGAGATTGCATGTAGACTCCAAGTCTAGTAAGTATAATAGATTTATAGACGACAGCGCCATGATTAAATTATTGATATCGAAATTTCTATAAATTAACTGAATACGTAACAAAGCTGACTCAAGACACTTTAAAATTAACGTCTATATTACAAGAGTTCACTAATTTGAAGTGACTATTGGCACTATATTTGGGCACTGCTTCGACTGAGATTATTTGTATGAATGCCCAAAAACCATCACACACGAAGACTTCCATTAAATGCACAGCAGACAAAATAAATTCACTTATACCTAAGGTATAAGTTATACCGATAAGGTATACCGTATAAGGTATACCTTATACCTATGTCAGGAAAAACCTCAACACAAATATGGTGCGCGCATTAGAAGCCTTAAGCACGTCTTGAAATTTTCTCCAGAACCTCATAGACTTCCCCCTCCTCCTTCACCCCCGTTAATCCCCATCCACTTCTGAAATGGTAATTTTAGTGGCATAACTAAATTTTGTGAACGGTCTCAATTAGTCTGGCTTTCATTCAGAGAAATGAATGGGAATTTGTCCAAATAGCGATGCACTTCTTGTGCTTGTTTACGTCACTCGGACCAAATTTGGCCCGGCAAATAGGCGTGTAGATGCTCCGTTTTTTGCTGTGGGTAAGAAAGTTGATCTCTATTTGAACAACGTGGCCCATTTATTTTTCAGAATGTTTGGTCCCAGTTGCTGTCCCCTGTCACCGCGATGTCGTCCCCCGTCCCCCATCACCGCGGTTGGGGATCACAAGAGTAGCACACGGGGCAGGGGGGGAAGGGCAACTCGGGGGGTTGTGGGGGAAGCTGAGGTTCGGGTCACACCGAGGTGGTTCTTTCCTCCATCTGCGTGAACCGTCGCTGGGGTTGTTGGGGAGGAGGGGGCAGAGGGCGCCGAAGAATAGAAGGATGGGTTCTGTCACGGGAAGTAAGAGGCGGACACTCTCTATGACCTCTTAGTGGAGGAGGAGAAGGAAGTTTGAGGCGATGGTGGGGAAACTGTTGAGGATTTAAGGGGGACATGCTACGTAAACTTCCAGGTCGGTTGCCTAGCCTTGCCAATCCCTCAGGTTCACTAAAACTAACACCCGATGAGCTTCCCAACCGCCTACATGACATGGCTAAAGAACCATCCCTAGGTAATGTCGAAATCTGGTGATAGGAATGACTGTTTTGATTTTGGAAGGCTCGCCTAGGTAAAGATTGGGATCTGTAGGCAGAAAATGGCCTGTCATTGTTAAGGTACGGCGCTTGTATCCTGCATGGCATGGCGTTGTATCGACTTATGTGTGACATAGCACCACAGTCTTCACTTAAAGTCTCTTCCATATTAGCACAACAGGGACCGAGTAAACCTTCTTCAGAGACACACGTAAGTAATTCAGGTCTAAACATAGGCCCTCCAGTATCAATAGAAGAAGCAAACGAAAGATTCTTTGGCACTCTCCGAAAATCCATCTCATACTTGGGCATCACCATTAAAGGTTCCGCACCACATGTACACGTTGGACCTGTGGGTCCTCTCACTGGGCCGTTCTGCATCTGAAGAGGACTGAAAAGCTGGCCCGGCTTCTCGATGTGTTTATCGAATCCAGGAAATCGGGGGATATCCTCAGTGTTATGGTGGTTTTCTGAAGGACGCGTGAAGGATCCAGGCTGGGACTCGGGGGCCATGGGTGTCGCCTTCAAAAAGAAGAGGCATGAAGCGCCCGCCAGAGTGCAGGCGCTTGAGAAAAAGTAGCCGCTCTTCGCTGACGCTTCGTTTATGTAACCTGGCGGACCAAAGAGAAGTTGTACTCTAGCTGCTGAAATTGTCATAACAATTGAGTAGGTAGTTCTTAGTTAAATTTTTCTTATCGTCACTAAAAACATTAAGCACTAAATTAAAATTTTACACTGATTGCCAAGCCCATATTATACAATTTGTGTCTGAAAAACAGTAATAAAAACATTTTTTTACTTGATCGCAATACTCAATAACAATGAACTACTTACTCAATCACAGATAAGCGGACACCTCCCGACTTCAATTTACCATCATAGCTCTAACAGATTTGTATAAAAAAAATTATGCAAATATGTAAGCGAATGTATTGATGCCTAGTAAACTATAATGTAAATAAATTTAGTGTAAATGCGTAAGCAAATATATAGTTGCGCTAAGATATTTTTAGGTAAATTAGTATGCAAATAAACACATAACGCACCAGTTATGGGTACCCCGACGAGGATGGGTATGGCGGACGCCGCCTGCATGAAGCCCCATGCCCTGGCGAAGTGTCGTGCCCGTGCCCTCTCCAGGACGAGCATCTGCAGGGCATAGTGGGCACCCCCCAGCAGCATGCCGTACAGCCACATGAACAGCGCGTACCCATGATACCCACGTACCGCCGTCAGCGACAGACTCATCGCGCCTGTGGATAAGTGGGTCACATGAATAACGCATACCCGTGATACCCCCGGGTACCTTTGATACCCCGGGTACCTGTGATACCCCGGGTACCTGTGATACCCCGGGTACCTGTGATACCCCGGGTACCTGTGATACCCTGGGTACCCGTAATACCCTGGGTACCAGTGATACCCCGGGTACCAGTGATACCACGGGTACCTGTGATACCCCAGGTACCTGTGATACCCCAGGTACCTGTGATACCCCGGGTACCTGTGATACCCCGGGTACCTGTGATACCCCGGGTACCTGTGATACCCCGGGTACCTGTGATACCTCATGATACCCCGTGATACTCAGTGATACCTCGGCTACCAGAGATACTAAGCGATACTCCGGGTATCCATAATACCCGCGTGATACCCTATTTACATGTAATACCTCGAGATACCCGTGTGCCCGTGATACCCACGCACCACCGCTAGTGAAAGACTCATCACACCTGTAAATATATACTTTTCCTAGTTGGACATATTTAATTATCCTACGTTATTCAAAAATTTGTTTTGAGAGTTCTAACTGTTTAAATTATTCTTCGTTAAAAATAGTGAAATCTAGTCCTGACAGCATAATAACTGAATCGCTAAATAATTAAAGTTGCTTTAAATTGTGTTAAACTTATAACCAGAGGCTACAAGTACGTCAAATTTTCATTGGGTAGATCAGAATATTATTACTCGATTAAAATTATCTTATTATTGGTTGTATTATTTGAGATTAATACTTGGCAGTGATCTCACCGAGGGAAAATAGGGCTGCTGGCAGTAATCTCACCGAAGGAAAATAGGGCTGCTGGCAGTAATCTCAACGAGTCGAGGGACAATAGGGCTGCTGGCAGTAATCTCACCGAGGGACAATAGGGCTGCCTGACACAGGTACTGGCGGGAAATAAGGCATTGGTTGCTGCGCCGCACCACGATCAGCCCAAAGCCCAGGCAGCCCAGCGCGTAGGCGAAGCCCAGGAAGGTTTGCAGGAGAATCAGCGAGGAATCTTCCAAGCCTTCTTCTTGTGCACCAAGAATCTGCAATAAAATTAATAACTAAGATTAGAGTACAAGGTTCACTTTGTAGCCTTACGGTTTATTTTTACAACACTTCTCTTTAACTTCACTTCTTGTTTGTTTGTCTGCTACAAATCTTGTAATCAAAATTTAATACACTTCTACTTATCCTATCGATCTGAAATTTTGCACACTTGTGTAAAGTTGGAGACAATGCATGAATCAAATGTCAAAATAAATGATTTTAAAAATTATTTTTTTTTCAATATTAAAAAAATTTGAAAAAATAATTTTGTCAGCTACAAATCTCATAACTGATATTCAACAAACTTTTACCTGTCTAATTAATCTGAAATTTGCACACTTGGGTGAAGTCAGAGGCAATGCATGAATCAATTAACAGAATAAATAAATAAAAAAAATTATATATTAAAACAATTTTATATATTAAAAACATTGCAAAATTAATTTTTTTAATATTCGAAAATTAAATGAGAAATTCATTGTACATCTGTAAGATTGGAGACACTGGATTCTTTGGAAGTGTTGTCTTTAAAAAGTAATTTTCAAACGTATATTATTTAGTGTGAAATTGTAGATCAGGAAAATAAAAGTCAACATAATATGATATGGCGAAATTTATGTATGACAGAAATTTAAGTCCTTTTACTATTTCTTAGCATCACGACTTACTAAGGAACCAGATGAACGAGGCTATCAAGCCGACAATTTATTATTTAATTTTACCATGAAGAAGATCATGACCCAGATCCCCGCTTGCAAAACAAACTATTGTTAACTTTTTCAGAAGTAACATTTCTAAATGTAACATTACCGATGCGAGATATAACATATAGACTAATACTTCCGATGCGACAGATAACATTTATGAAAGTACAATAAAATATATATAATGGGTATAATAACAAAAAACACAAGTAACTCTTCAAGAACAGACTAGACGAAGCTATGCAGGAGCATATGTTCAGTCTTAAAATGCCTAGCAAATTACGGACCAGGCCATAAGTCCAGCAGCTATCTCAATCAATCGTCAGTTATGGAAAGATCGGGTTCCAAAGGCCGGATCCCTTGTGAATCAAGTCACGAAAAGTTCAAGAATCGGCAACAGGCCATGGGCCTATTTTTTCAGTGCCAACACTTCTATTCTATTTCTATTCTATTTCTATTCTATTCTATCCTATTCTATTCTAAGAGACTCACCAAGAAGAAGAGCGGTGCGTAAAGCCCCGCGGAGAAGATAGCGGAGGCCAGCACCAGCACCTGCATGGAGCGCGCCTTCAGGCACTGCATCTCGAAGTATGGCGGCTTCTCGTCACACCGGCCCTTGTCCTTGACCTCAACAACCATGAATAATGACTTATATACCGAAAAAAGTGTTTAAACTATAGATGCTCAAGCAAATAATTAATTGCTTGAGAATAATAATAATAAATTATAGAATTATTATATAATAATTAATAGTTATACTCGCCTAATGACGAATAATGACAATATTTGAAAATTATTTTAAATATACACGAACAACGAAGAAGAACTAGATTATTTATGATCATAATAACCGTTCAAAATATAATCCGCAAAAAAAAAAAATTTTTTAAAAACAATTTTAAAATATCACAATACACAGTTCTGTCCAATGTATAGTGGTTATTTATTGTTATTATAGCATCGAATATGACCCGATAGCATAAAGTTATCTGATCAATTTTATTTGTTGAAAACGTGGTCATTCCATCATAAATTTCATTATTTGGTATAGTACTTCACCGGTAGGTGGAAGCAAATTCAAATATTTATTGTGAATGCATCTGATAAATTAAATCAATCATCAATTGATTTCAATCAATCAATTAAAAAATCACGTGACACTAACGTTCAGAGGTACAGCAATTTTATATTGCAAGTCAATGCCAAAAATGTTTTTCAGCGAACAAGAAAACTTTTTCTGCGTCCACCGAGAAAGTCCTGAACATCTTGTCAGGTACCAAGTAAAAATCTTGTGCAATAATTTAGATATTTCCACTATACAAATCTGGAGTGAACTTTAAAAAAATCGACACTAATCCGGAACGAACTAATGAATAAAATTCGACGTCACAATTTTGCTAGGAAAAATCTCCAATACGCGCAAACGGATACTCGCAGTTAACACGGCAATTACTTTTTACTAAAAAATTTACACCGGTAAGTTAAAAAAAAGTTAAATAATCTCCTTGCACCCCGCTAACTAAAAAAATCTAGTTTCATACCCTCTTTTTCTGGTTCTTGAGATGGAGGATGGCTCGTCGTTGTGGATGGTACAGGGAGGCTGAGCGGTAACAAATGCCCAGGATAAATGACAGAAAAACTGTGCCCGTAACGGCCTGCAGTCCCAGCCTCCAGCCGATTGACCTGCGCGGTGAGAAAATCAACAATGTGATGTAAATATGCACGGAAAATTTAGAACGATGGATTTTTTCATAGCTTATGAAGTTTTCAACGTCAATTGAGGAATGAAATGATTGTGAGTTGCTCGGGTACAGCAGCATGATTAATGCTCGGGTACAGCACGAGCATTACCATAAGATTGACACTCGGTCAATGGCTTCACTACCTAATAATTAAAAAAAAAACGTGCTCCGCGACAACAATGAGCTAATAATGATGTTTAAAAATGTGTGAAATAAAATATATATTTTGAATGATATCATTAGACCTCACTTGTTGACCTCTTTGAAGAATACGGGAAATAAAGTGATGCACACAATGCTTCCGGTCTGTATGACACTCAGAAAGAATGAATGAAACATATTGTCCAAATAGTGACACACGTTCTCACTCACAGCACGAGAAAAAAATAGACTTGTCACTGGTACGCCTTCTCGACAGGCCAAAGTGGATCAAAATGACCCACATAAGGGCATCACTAATTGAGTCTCACTCATTCATTAAAAGATGAGTTGAGATCTAGGAAAGAGCCATTCATTTTTCTGAGTGTCTCATCTACAATAACTCCCACCTCAGATAATTTTAACCATAAATAATAATCATAAATAATAATCCTAAATAATCACCAATAATTGTAATCATAAAGCCTCACTTGATGACCTCCTTGAAGAACACGGAGAACAAAGTGATGCCCACGCCACTGCCGGTCTGTACGATCATCTCCACAAACTCACGTCGCCGTTTGAAATACTGGCCTAACATCAACGATGCCGCCTCCCTAGTCAGCCCAACACCTACACCCAGCACCAGCGACCAGCTGTTCAAATAATTACTTTATTCATGATAGAATTTAACGTGAGTCATAGATAAATATTACATGTTGTTCAGTGAAGAAAAGAAAACATTTATTATTTGGAAAAAAGGAATATGGTTATGGTGAGTAATGATATATCATTTACCAACAACTGGTTTATTACTTTTATGGGAATTTCATTCATTTCACGAGCTCTCACCGATAATTTGTATATGATCACACCCTTCTAATTTAATTGAGTAATCGTCTTAAATAAAATACTGAAATAGATTCTTACCAATTTCGCAATTATTAATGATCAAAATACCTGGGTAATATCTTAACTATTTTCAACGAGTTAGATACCTGAGAAATATCTGGTGCAGCTGTAGGGCAAAGGAAGCAAATAGTGTCGCTAGTGCCATGACTAGCCCTCCAATGACGGCCGTGAGACGCGTGCTCTTGCGGCGACACAACGCAACCACCAACGGCGCCGTGCAGCGCGACACTGCCAGACTTGTCGACCCTACCCAACCTAGCAGGAGAAATACGTGTCAATAACGTGTCTACGGATACACAAACCGTCATCAATGTTATTTGGGCCTAAAGAGGTGAGGTAAGTAGACTTACTGTCAGTTGGTGAAGAATATGAGAAGTTTAATGGATGAAAGGGATGAACCCCAATTAAAATTTGAGGCAGTTTTTGAGCCGGGCCGGCGTCGCAAGGGGAATGCTACAAGTAGTGAGGGAGCAGGTAAGGGGCAGGCCTGTCCCTTTTCGAATTAAGCCAGTGTATGATGAATTGAGGACTTGCTGCAAATCGGCCGTTACCGGCGATGGCGATTTAAATCCTGCTTCAAATCTGCTGGAATGCGGTAGGCATTCCCTATCTTGCTCTAAACCTGCTCCAAACCTAAACTGCTACGTTAAGTAGACTCTTTGCGCTCCGAATTTCAAAAGGGACTATGAGCTAACTTATTGAGTTAGTTATATAGTACAGATTACTTTTAATTCATAACCAATTATCAATAACTCATAGCTATATCATCGATAAATTTGAGGAAAATAAAGTGACGTAATCGAAAAACGAAAATAAACTTAGTCTGATGAAGACGATGTTTTAGACAAGTTTAATTGATATAGGGCAGGGATGAAATTTCCTTCATCTGAAATATGCTTCAATACAAAATTAACTACCAGTCTCAGTTATTTCTATCAAGATATTTTTCCACTGAGAGGTGGCACTGGTCTTGGATGCATTAAGTGTACGAGCCTTTGACAGATACTTTCTTTTGTAAAAAAATGTCCTTCCATCCAATGATACCGCGTGATGATAGCCCAAGGGTAACTAATCAATTGTTGTAATTATTATTTATCAAGGTAAAAGATAACGTAGTTAATTCGAAACAAAGATAAAAAATTAAAGCTTTAAAACTAAAGTAAATGTTCGTAAATGCGACCACCATAACTCAACGATTAGATTTTCAACGGCAGTTTTTCAATTGCCCGACGTTTGACTCACTGGCAGTGACAGCGCTGCGCTGGCTGAGCCCCACGTGGTTGACCAGGTCGGTGTAGAGCACCCCGAAGGAATACTGCATCCCTGTCGTCAGGATGTGGATGACGAACACGCATCCACATACCACCCAACCCCAGCCACCTGCGCGTTAGGAATATCTCTAGAACATCGCTAGAAGATCTCTAGAACATTTAAAAAATACCTAGAACATCTCTACAACATCTCAATAACATCACTAGAACATCTCTAAAATATCTCTAGAACATCTCTAGTACATCTCAATAACATTTCAGAAACATCTCTAGAACATCTCTAGAATATCTCTAGAACATCTCTAGAATATCTCTAGAACCTCTCTAGTACATCTCTAGTACATCTCAATAACATTTCAGGAACATCTCTAGAATATCTCTAGAACATCTATAGAATATCTTATGCTTTCTGGACAATTAACGGATCATATTGTCCAAATACTAACCCACTAGACAAGGCTAAATTAAACGTTGTTTGGATGAATAAACGTGAGTTCAACGTTGGTTAAAAGTCATCTGTCCGGCACTGAAGAGCAAGCGTAGCACTGAAATGTTCTTTTACCGGGCCAAACTGGGTCAGGTTGACCCACAAAACTGCGTAAATTTCATTGATATTTCGACACTATCACTCATTTCTGTGAATGTAGTTATAATAAGTCTTTGGTTAGGAAACGAACAGGCAACTTTTTTAAATGCAGTGAATAGTGACGCAAACTTCAAAACAATTAACCCAAGAGCATCTCATTTGATCAAAGAAATAAATTGAAATCAAAATTTCCAGAAAATCAGCTGTACATAGCTTCAGTACTTTCAATAAATAATCAAATGAAAAAATATACTTGCCTGCACCAGTGTATATCAAGGTACCATCTTTCTTCAAAGTAGATGCATTGACTTACAGACCCGTCTTCAGGAGAGTAAAGCTACAGGATACTAGTGCTGCCCTATGACCTACATTTGCTACCATATGGTCCACATTTTCTACTTATGACCAACCTTTACTGCCTCATGACCCACCTTCAGGATAGTGGTGCTGCCTCATGACCCACCTTCAGGATAGTGGTGCTGCCTCATGACCCACCTTCAGGATAGTAGTGCCGCCTCATGACCCACCTTCAGGATAGTAGTGCTGCCTCATGACCCACCTTCAGGATAGTAGTGCTGCCTCATGACCCACCTTTGTTACCACATGACCCACCTTTAGGATAGTAGTGCTGCCTCATGACCCACCTTCAGGATGGTAGTGCTGCCTCATGACCCACCTTTAGGATAGTAGTGCTGCCTCATGACCCACCTTTGCTACCACATGACCCACCTTCAGGATAGTAGTGCTGCCGGATAGTGGAAGTCTTAGGGTCGTGACGACGCAGGGCAGGGATCGTCTTCTGGAAGGAGTTCATCTCGCGCTCCCCCAGGACGGCACTTCGGTCCTCCTCCTCCTCGTCTTCTTCTTCTTCGTCAGCGTCCTGATCGTCCTGGTCGTGGCCAGCCTCCTCGTCGTCCCTGCAGACGTGGCGCTTGTGTTGATGTTGATGAAGTCCTTCGTCACCGGGCTCGTATCCACCTCCTGAACGACTCCGCCTACCATCTGCACGTGGAAATATATCATTAGGATGATAAATAAAAGTAATTAAATATATTGAACATAAATTGCTATTAATATTTGGCAAAGTTTGCAGGATTGTGTGAGGGTTTGAAGCTCGACACCACGAATATATAAGGGCTGTTAGGACGCTGGTCCAGGATACCTAGCCAGAGGCCATACTTTCAAAACTCGCTAAGTGAACGTAAGTACTTACGCTCTATTTTCTTGTCTATGATTGGTGTATTTTGCTTGAAAGGCCGTCAATGATTGGCCGATAAACTTACGATCTCTTGACTTTTTCTGAAAGTATAGGCCAAGGACCTGAAATTTCATTCATAGTTGGTATTGGAATGGACGTGCGCGCTGGCCTCAGGTAAAGAATTTAGATCGGTCATTAACGCTGCATGAAAAATCTATTACTAGCATAAAAGAATTAAAAGTTCAGCTCGCACTCAGCAGTTAAGAGAAAGTTTAATTAATGAGTATTCTCTACAATCCTGATAGAGTAAAACATTCAGTTATGAATGTCAACATTATAAAAAAAAACAATGTACTAAAACGTTCGACACGGTCGCCAGTGATGGACTAGGAAAAATTGGAGGACTCAACGTGTTAATAGACACCAGCAAATTAGTTGCAAACCAACGAAAAAACTACAGCCGCGAGATCTGTTAGCTTCAAATTATTACAATGAATGTCTAAACAAACTCGACTTTTATTCTTGTTTTGAGATCGTTTTTCCAGATCGTTATATAAATAAATTATTATTTATATATTTATTCCTCATTTATTTTTTATCTTCTAATTTTTTAATCGAGTGTGCGCATGAACGTAGTTTTATAATTCAGTAAATTGTTCTTAGTTTAATTAGATACTTCAAAGTCTCCGAATTTTGGTTGTACAGTTCGTACATGCGAGACCGTAAGTAAACAATTAATTAAGTGGCCATCCGAACACAATTAATTAAGTGGCCATCCGAACACAATTAATTAAGTGGCCATCCGAACACAATTAATTAAATGGCCATCCGAACACAATTAATTAAGTGGCCATCCGTACACAATTAGGTGGACATCCGTACACAATTAATTAAGTTGTCATTCGTACACAATAAGGTGAGCGTCCATATTCTAACCAGCAGTAGTTCGTACATGTTTAGATCTCTGCTCCTTGTACTCAAGTTAATTAAAATCTGTGGCGTGAGTAAACGCGCTTTAGCTGTGCCTGCGACGCCTGCCAGTTGGCTTGTCAATTGAAGCCTGTTGGAAGCTTCATCAAATTGAAGCTGACACAGCCTGCATAGCGCTTCATATTGCTTCTGAAGCAACTGGATGTAAAATAAGAACAAAACGCTCTACTTGGAACATTTGGTCGCCGTTCCTCTCAATAAATGAACGTGAAATGTTCATTTCTGAAGCCAACTTGTGGTCAATACCCGTTAGATTTAAGATATGATGCAATCGAAATATCAATAGAGAAAAATATTGGTAATTTTAAACAATTATTACTGGCACCTCGAATGCTTCAGGGCTGTTTTTAGCGCATTTTCTCATTTATGGAAAAAATGCCCTATTGTGCTCATCATGTCCGTCTGTCCGTCCGTCTGTCTGTCCGTTAGTGACTTCACGTTTTCGCCGACGAGAAAATGCGCTCTCTGTCACTCACTGCAGTGAGTACCGAGTTATATTTTTTTAGCTTTCATCTTTTGTAGCATAAAACTTGTATTGATTATAGATTAATTTATTGAATAGTGTCGTAGCAATTTTGATCTTTCTTGGGATATTTAAAGCTAGCCAAATGAATTAAATTCTAAATTATTAATTCACACAACGTAGTAAAAAAGGAACCCAATTTTCTAATTATCAGAGATCTAGCAGCAGTTAGGAGCAGAGATCGAGCAGCATGATAATGAGCTCATTCCTCAGGCTGGTAATTCTCTTCACAGGAAGATCAGTACAGAACGAACTTATCTGCCTTATCTTATCGCTTGTCTAGGGCCAAACTTTATGCCCGGTGTTTGAGTTCGGAGGTTGGGTTTGTTTGAGCGGCGAGCGAGATTCAATCATCTTCAGGGTCCAGCAGCTCGCTTGCTGCAGATTGTAGCGAAGGCAAACTACTTCCCGGGGAGTTTTAGGCTTTCGGTTTACACGAGGAACGTTTATAAGCAAGAAAAGCTAAAGATTATAAACTAAAAACGATGAAAGCAAACGATAATGAGGTAGCGGAAGCTCTGATGTTGACAAATATTACTGCTGTTGACAAATGTTACTGCTCTTAATAAATATAACTGCTGTTGACAAATATTACTGCTATTGATAAATATAACTGCTGTTGATAAATATTACTGCTATTGATAAATATTACTGCTGTTGACAAATATTACTGCTGTTGACAAATATTACTGCTGTTGACAAATATTACTGCTGTTGACAAATATTACTGCTGTTGACAAATGTTACTGCTCTTAATAAATATAACTGCTGTTGACAAATATTACTGCTGTTGACAAATATTACTGCTGTTGACAAATATTACTGCTGTTGACAAATATTACTGCTGTTGACAAATATTATTACTGTTGACAAATATTACTGAAAACTTTGTCCACTGATACATTGGCCGTCGTTAGTTTCATTCGTATCGAAATCAAAACAAGACAAGACAAGAGCTACCAGCGCTGCATGAAGAGATAATCAATGATACAATTTATTAAAGAAAAACTCTTATGAGCATCAGATGTAAATAATATTAATCAGATTTCATTTTCTATAACACGAAGGAACAACAAAACTTGGAACATCAAAGTGCAGTAAAGAAAGCTTATGTTGAATTTTAATCTTGACAACTCGGCTTGATAATTCTGCATTAAGAACGAAGCTCGTTTAGTAGAATAAGGAAACTAAAATACAAAATATATATTACGAGAGATTGAATTAAAAAAAATCAACAATTCTATTTGTACAAAAAATTATGCATTTCAAAAAACATTTATTGAAGGATTTAATACTTTTGATCCGTTTTGCCTAGTGGTGGGTGTCGTGACTTACATTTCCTTTCATTCAAATGTTGAACAAAAATAGCTAGATTTAACAATAAAAAACGTAGTCAATCAGAGACGTAGTCAATATCAGACAAGGAGAAGTCAAAATCTTTGGCTTAGTGTCAGGACATTTTTCAATGCCATAAGTTGCTCGCAGCTTGTCCAATAAAAGTGAGCTATTTAGCATAAATCGAGCGACTGTGAAAGAATTTTGTCGACTTGCAAGTTCAAACTGAGCGAAGGAGAAGCCTGGCAGCGTATTTTGACCTAATATCAGCCTAGTGATGGGCACACTTTCTAGTGACACGAAACTCTCTCAAAGAAATGAGTGAGGCTTTGTCCAAATATTGATGAATTTTTGCCCATTTATGGGTCGTCATGACCCAGTTTGTCCAGGAGAAGAAGAGCGTTTCAGTTCTAAATGCAAGAAATGTGTCACTATTTGGGAAAAGTGACCCATATTTTTGTCAGTCCGGTAGAAGAACGCCGCAAGAAGAGACCGTACAAATGTCATGTGGCATCATTACAGCAGTTCTTCTAAGATTTTTTATAGCCTTCATATCGGCCAGCGTCAGAGGTTTGATCAAACAACTCCGGAAACCACGGTCCAGATACGAGATAATAAAATGCAGATTTTACAGGGTTTTGCGAATTTGCCTGAATCGACCGTGAAGGTTTGCGAAGAATACTTCTTGGCAGCATAGGAAAATGTGGTATTGAAGGCTTGCGCTGGTAACGCTGGCATCAAATGGCAGTAAGCAATAACACCATTTCAGATTATTATTGAATAATTTTTCCAGATATTCAAGTGCAAGTTCTTTGAAAACAGTGTGGAAAATGGGGCTCATACAAAACATCAATAGCAATGGTGAAATTTATTTTTTTTTCGGACATTAAAAAATTATTTTAGTTCTCGTTCTTAAGAACGAGACACTTGACATCTTTGTCAAGAATGACATCAAATAGAATATTGGAATAATTTTAAATTTTGGTATGTCAGAAAATAGTTCAACTACGTTTTAAATGTATAATAAAATTTTAGGATCACTTGATTGCTCAAATCTCAAAACAAAGAAAAAAAACAAGAGAACTCAAAGAATAGAGTGAGTTTCTGGCATATTTTTTTGCACTAACTAATCTATATAAAAATAACAGTTCCTAATTTTTGTCGCAAAATTCTCCAGAAAAGAACGTAAGAAGTATAAGAATCGGAACAGGCCATGGTCCTATTTCTTCAGTGCCGGCACCTCTATTCTATTCTATTTTATTCTAAAATTCTTACCGGAAATTAATGGAAAATAGTGCCATGAATAATGAGGTAAAAATAATATATAATGAATAAAAGATAATCAACATTGCACCAACATAGTAGAAGGAATTTCGTTTAAGATATTTTGTCGAGTATCAGCGTTTTTGGAAGATGGTATTTATGTCTTTGTATGTATTTCACAAGGATGGGATGATCGATAAATCCACAGCATCGAAAATATCGCTTCAAAAACACGAATATTTTACTGTATCCAAGGCCAAAAAATCGTGGAAACAACAGTTGAAAATCATTGGAGCGGTAAATGTTGGGCATTTGCAGGTGGATTAAACGGTTCGGGATGAAGGATTAATGCCATTCGGTATCAGGGATCCGTCCACGGACTTTGTGATGGGCGGACGAATGACGAAATTTTGTCAAATTGCGAATTCAGTTCATGTGCTTACAAAATTCCAGTTGAAATGTCCCAAAAAGCTGTAAAGTTGGAGTCAAAATCGAACGAAAATGGCCAAATACGTTTTT